GATGGCGGTGGGCAGGGCCCGGGCAGGCCACCGGTTTCCCCCTGCGACCAGGGCTGCTGCTGGGAAAATGTTCCGGGAAGGGAGCGTCCCCACCCAGGCCCCAGGGTGGGGGGGCCCTAGGAGGGGGGATCCTCGGGCCGGGCCAGCCTGCAGAGGAGCTGGCACTAGTACCAAGGACGTGGAGAATCGCAAAGACAAGCCTTCCAGACCCGTCTCCACCGCCAGGGGCTCCGTGACCTCTGGCTGTGACCTCTGGGGTCACTTAGCCCAGGCCTCAGTTTCCCCACTCCGCTGGAGTGGCCAAGAAGGGAAGCGTTCACGTCACAACACGCCCTGCCTAAAGAGTCTCTTGTAAAATGAGATCCAGGTACAAAACTCAGCAACAGATCTGACCGTCTCCTCTCACACTCCCCATCCGCCCGCAGGAGACTCCACGTGACAAAGAAAGAAAACCAAAACCAGGCTCTTCCACAAGAGCCACGTGTCAGTGTTCAGCGCGGAGCCCCAACGGGACGAGTCCCTTCATCTCTCTGTAGGGCAACACCTCGCAGCCCCCTAGGTTCAGATGAAGGGAAAAACCACCTACTGCTGGGACGAGAATATCTAGGGACCATGGATGGCGGGTTTTATAGCGCGGCACAAACATTCGCCAGGAGCGGACATCGATTGGCCAGCGGGATGCATTTACCCCTTTAGGAAAGTCTATTAACTTCACAAGCTAACGTCTGAGCCTCTAGTTTAGCTCTTGGGCCAAGAAATAGTTTAAACGATCCATTTGGAAGCTTAAAAGGATCTTTGAAGCTGAAGTTGCTCCTCTTAAAATGACGGCGGACTTGCCGCTTCGGAGGCTTGGGGGCGCCCTCGCTGTAAGACAGGCGCCGACGCCACCGGTGATGGTCAGCGGTGCCCCCACAGGAGCCTGCGCGCCCCGGCACTACATTTCGGCAGCAGCACCGTTAGACATTTATCACATAATGTGAACATGCCAGCTTCTAAGACGCGGGCTCCCTCCGGGACGCTCGGGGGCTACAGAGTCACTGTAATCGCGTAAGCGTATTGCACAGTTTATAAAAAAACATAAATACTGGCTATTCTAGATTTAAATACAAAATACATGTCCTATGGCTTTAAATCTAAAAAATAAAAATCACAAAGCCAGCATTTAAACCTAGATTATTTGGCCTCTAAAATTCTCTTTCCAGCAGTCTCTTTACTTAGGAGTCTGTATTTTAGGTATAATTTGTATTTTTTAAACAAATTATTTGAAATATTTAACCTGAAAAACTGGGTAGGAAGATGAAAACTTATCATTAAGATACATTTCAAAAGATACATCTTCCCCATCAGTTTATGCAAAAGTTACTCATGCAAATGCTACTCATATTAGTATCAATGAGTCTACATTTTGATGGAAGACACTCCAGTTGACATGATCTCTACAGTCAGATATTCTGGGGTCAAAATTAGGCTTTGCAATTTATCAGTTAGTTCACCTCGGACGACTTTATAAATAATCTCATTGTGTCTCATTACCTTACCTTTAAGATGAAGATACTTACAAGCACCTACCTCATGTCAAGAGTTTAGAATATATATGTTACATAGTAATACTTAATAAATGTTAGTTATTATATAAAATAATGTAATTTTTTCACATTTTAAATAATGAGACAATGTTTCATTATGTAACATAGTTTCCTTCTTCACTACCACTGCTTCTGGAAAGAAATTATGTCTGAGAAGGACTCACGCATTAATCAATATTGTATGTTTCTAGACATTGGGGTAAAAGCTCTCAACATGCAATATCACTGCACAAATTGTCACCCTGAGCAATGTTTTGACTTTAAATTTCTCTCAGCACATGCAGCGGGCCTTTAATGAAATCAAATTTCAACAAAAATAGTATCTAACAGATTGTAAGGCTAAAGAAATAAAATTCTAGGCCTAAGTGCAATATACAAAATAGAAGTGAACAGTGTGCATGTGTTATTTTTAAAAACAGCAAATAGATGCCTTTAGCCATTGGTATAGCAGAGAATGAGAAATTTAGAAAAAGATCTGTGGTGATTTTTCCTGATTTTCTGTATATTAAGCTAATTAATTGAATTCTGGTTCTCAATACTACTAATGTTATGGCCTGAATTACCTCAAAGTAATACAAAGTGATGCAAATGAGATATTTTCAGTCTATGCCAGACCCCATGTCTTCGAAGTTATAAACAAAATAATAAAATTTCATTTATTGTGAATATGCCTACTTAAGATATGTAATGGGTACCTATCTTGTTCCAGGCATAGCCTGTAAGTAGAATAAACTAAACATCCACTGAATTAACCATTTGGTGAGAAAAGTTATTAAATGAAATGTTTACATGGTCTACATTAGAATGGAAATTCCTCATACCATTGGAAATAAGATGTTGATTTGTAAGAAACATTTTAAAGGAGTCACAATTAAAATTTAAATTAAAGAATGATATAAGATTCAGCTATGAGAAAATTCTTCGCAATATTGCTTAAAAC